TACTTTGACTAAAAAATAAATTCATACAAATGGAAGTGCTCAGTAGTGTTGAAGTTTTTAATCCCACCAGTYATGCGACCAAAATACTTTCAAAATAGTTTTGCTCACACATGCCCTGTAGCCCTAGTGCAAGTCAATTTTTAATCCCACAACTCATTACATGGTAAAGAGATGGTCCAAAATTGACGCACTCTACAAAATGGATGTAGAACATTCAGAGAGGTTCAACAACTCACACTAACCATTATAACTTGTCCCCAACAGACACTTAACAATGATTAGCACATGAATCAAATCTCAGTAAAAAGACAAATTCAGTGATATGGGGGGTTATGGGATTAACAAGTATTGAAAGGTATATCACTGTATATCTGAAATAAACAAATGGTTTGGCAGGAAAAGGGTAGTAGCCCACGCTATACGATAAGAAAAAAAGCAAAGATTGGTCAGAGAATTGGATACCCTTACTACTAACTTGTGATCCATGATAAAGGACTGCATATGCATRCWTACTAGTCCTGCTGCTGGTGATTTGTTAGCAAAATTAGTTATAGTAGTTAAAGTTATAGTAATTCTTGCTGTATGATTCTTAATACTAGTAGAAACATTCAAACCTTTGGATAGTTGTACTRACCAATAATCACAGCAAGAGATAACAATACCATGTTACTTACTCCTCTAACACATATTTTTCACCATGATGGAGAGGGGACATCATAAAGGGTTGTAGTAGTAACAMCATAGTTGTAGTGGTGTAGTAGTACTAAGGCTATCATGATTCTGCTGGAACCAAAGAAGTTGTACTCCTAGTAGTAGAACTCAAAGGCACAACCACCAGGTTATTTTTGAGCATAGCTCTTGCTACTACAAAGTAATAGATACACTACTAGTATGAAGGTTTGACAGGACCAATTTAAGGCTGATTTTAAATTTCTGGTAAAGGGTTGTGGGAAAAAGCAGAATTATAGCTTCCTCATATTCYCCCTTTGGTTTCATTCTGTTCCCAACATGTATGCTGGTGGCAAATTGAATATGTAGTAGTAATTTAGCTAGTACCACCACTGATAGTTTTTGTAACCGGTTTCAGTCCACATTATTGGTGGYACCCAATTATTYCATGTCTAAAAGATGCTTCCCTGGATATCACTTGCTTTTTTTGGGGACCATAATGTGTGGGCATTACCTACTACTAGCACCAGGGGTGCACAATGCATSCAATGGTATTTGACCAAATTTTGGAACTATGCAACATTGCAGTTCAAAAGACCACTTCAGTGTTGCAAGAATGGATTCATATGATAGGAGAAAATATTAAGCAGCAAGATACAAGCGTCAGGAAGGTACAACAACAACAACAACAACAACAACAACAACAACAACAACAACAACAACAACAACAACAACAACAACAAATACTAGTGGTACTCATACCACTACCACCACCACTAGTAGTAGTAGTACTCTGGTAGTCATACTCTGGTGATTGAAGAGATGAGTAGGACCAATAGGACCAGCAGTGAGATTGCTGAGGAGCTCAGTATGGCACTAGTAGAATCTAGTACTAAGAACAATGATTGTGCAATAGCAGGCAGAAACAGAGCCTTTCAATTGTCATAATATCAAGGAGGAATCATGCAATTATGAGCTGACTACTACTACTGCCACTACTACTACGTGGTACATGTCCCATCCTCAAATTGCAACACCAGTTGAGACAGACAAAATAACAAGACCTGACACTACAACACTCTGCAACAATGGACAAATATGAAGAACCATACTTCCAACATTGACTGGTATTGTAGCAAGGAGATATCTTCTTGCTATTCAAGCAAGTGAATTTCTGCTCCTTCAGAAGAAAAGATATTTATTGGGGCACAGAGGATCATCAGTGAACTACAACCACTGAGCTTATTGATCTTCTTCTTGATGTTGCAAGAAGAAGGACTCCTTTACATGTAGCTGAGAATTTGGATTGATAAGAAATAAATGGGCRGATAATTGAATAATTAGTAAATAGAAACAGCATAGTAGTAGTATTTATAGTATTTTGGGAGGAATATTATCAGGCCATTGTATTGTCACCATAAAATCTATTATGTAATGATGCTGGTGTAAACCATTTATGGGTGAAAGAAAGGGCATTTTAGACTATNAGCAAGATACAAGCGTCAGGAAGGTACAACAACAACAACAACAACAACAACAACAACAACAACAACAACAACAACAACAACAACAACAACAACAAATACTAGTGGTACTCATACCACTACCACCACCACTAGTAGTAGTAGTACTCTGGTAGTCATACTCTGGTGATTGAAGAGATGAGTAGGACCAATAGGACCAGCAGTGAGATTGCTGAGGAGCTCAGTATGGCACTAGTAGAATCTAGTACTAAGAACAATGATTGTGCAATAGCAGGCAGAAACAGAGCCTTTCAATTGTCATAATATCAAGGAGGAATCATGCGATTATGAGCTGACTACTACTGCCACTACTACTATGTGGTACATGTCCCATCCTCAAATTGCAACACCAGTTGAGACAGACAAAATAACAAGACCTGACACTACGACACTCTGCAACAATGGGCAAATATGAAGAACCATACTTCCAACATTGACTGGTATTGTATGCTATTCAAGCAAGTGAATTTCTGCTCCTTCAGAAGAAAAGATATTTATTGGGGCACAGAGGATCATCAGTGAACTACAACCACTGAGCTTATTGATCTTCTTCTTGATGTTGCAAGAAGAAGGACTCCTTTACATGTAGCTGAGAATTTGGATTGATAAGAAATAAATGGGCAGATAATTGAATAATTAGTAAATAGAAACAGCATAGTAGTAGTATTTATAGTATTTTGGGAGGAATATTATCAGGCCATTGTATTGTCACCATAAAATCTATTATGTAATGATGCTGGTGTAAACCATTTATGGGTGAAAGAAAGGGCATTTTAGACTATTGCAACAACAGTATATTTTTCAAATCCTGTTGTGTTCTTGCAGATCCCTACTTTTACCATACCAAAAGTTTTTAGGTGTGGACACAATAGTACATCTGGTGGAAGCAACTTTTCTAGCCAAATAAGCAATTGTTCAAATAATTGAAGATTATTTGTGTTGTCATGATACTAAAATAAAATTCTGGTGGTCTTGAGCTTGTCATTTCTTGGTGTTCACAATTAACTTTTTCACACATAGTTGTGTTGTTGCCAAGTGTCCTCCCCCCCACAAGATTGATTTTGAAAAATATTTCTTTGCTACTACTACCAACACATCCCACTCAGTAGTAGGGGTACTAAAAATTAATATGAGAAGAAGATAGTAGTATTTATTCATATTTCATCTAAAGTACCTTACACATGATTGTTGAAGCTGTTCAAATGTTCTTTACA